AATACTTGCACAAATATTTTCTATTTTCACTTTTATAACAATGAATACTTCCTTTAATAAAGTTGTAAAAAACCTTCATACTAAAATATTTTATCATTTTTCTTTTTTTTTTTTCCTTTTTTTTTTTTGAGAAGGAGTTTCGCTCTTGTTACCCAGGCTGGAGTGCAATGGCGCGATCTCGGCTCACCGCAACCTCCGCCTCCTGGGTTCAGGCAATTCTCCTGCCTCAGCCTCCTGAGTAGCTAGGATTACAGGCACGCACCACCATGCCCAGCTAATTTTTTGTATTTTTAGTAGAGACGGGGTTTCACCATGTTGACCAGGATGGTCTCTATCTCTCGACCTCGTGATCCACCCGCCTCGGCCTCCCAAAGTGCTGGGATTACAGGCTTGAGCCACCGCGCCCGGCCTCATTTTTCTTTCCTCTACAATCTGGATATTTTCTTCTGTTCTGTTTTCCCAGTTTACAGGTTATCCCTTCACCTGTACCAAATCTATCATTATTCAAATTTATTCTGTTCTTATTTTTGGTTATTAATTTTTTTTTCTAGTTTTAGAATTTCTATTTTTTTTTCATTCTGGCCTTTGTATTTGAGAAGTTATTTTTCGGAAATTTTCTGCTTGCTTCTTCCAGGTATCTTAATCTACCAGTCTAGTACGACCCTATTCTAAGTTCAAAGATGGAGGTTATCCCAAATTACAGATGATGCCATGCTGGCTGCGAGTCAGTAGAAGTACTGATTTATTTCCACTTCACCATTTTCCTGAGGGCAAAGCCCTTTGGAGCCCCAGCTTAAACACAGGGGGTATTTATTTATTTACTTATTGAGCCCAGGATTTGTGTTCTGCCCCCTTCGCTTTGAAAGACTATCAATGGCTGCTCAGTTTTGCAGCTGTTTCTTCCAGAGCATCAAATGCCATCAAAAGCAGCCTTAGTGCTGGGCTCACTTCTCTAGGTTCATGTCTTTTCCTAGATTTTGACCCAATAATTTCTCACTATCATATTAGCTAGGGACCTAAAAGGTTTCTGCAGAGTTGAGCTCACAGAAGAAGTTGACTCAAGTGAAAAGAGATCATTAAGCAGACAGGCCCAACCCTCCTCTCTGGTTACAAGTTTGTTTTTCCTACTAGGAACCTTTCACTTCAACACTGTCCTAACCATGACTGGATCCAGGAAATAAGTATTACATCTTTAAAACTTTAGCTCATGACTATACAAAATCTTTCTCCTTTAGTTCCCCTTAAAACACAAAAGAGGGTGACATTTTCAAAACCAGTGTCAAAACACTAAGGGTCCATAAAAAGTAAAAGTAGAGAATCTTTAAAATCATGATAGCCATTTTTCAAAGAATTTGGCTTTGTTTTCTGAACCTCAGGTGAGACCTGGTGCTTCTAAATTCCCATGAGGAGGAGAAGCAGCCCTGATAGTCATGATTGACAGGCCTAGCAGGCATGACACAATGAAAGACTTCATGCTGCCTGGCTAAGGGCTCACATTTATGCGTTTCTCTTCAGATGTCTAATGCCTCTTCCAGCCCAGAGCAGATTGGTAAGGATGCTCAGGCAGGACACTTTCAAAATCTCTCTCAAATCACAGCCAAACAATTAAGAATCTCTCTCTTTCATGGCCCTTCACATTTTAATGAAGGGCTGTAGGACACTGACCAGGCACCCATATTCTCCAGCTTCCCTGTCCAATATGACAGCCCCCAGTCATGTGTGACTATGAAGCACCTACATATGGCCAGAATGAACTGATGAAGCTTTAAGTAAAAATTATGCATCACATTTTAAAGACTTAATATGAAAAATTATGTAAAATATATCAATAATTTTTATATTGACTAGGTATTAAAATATTTTAGATATATTAGATGAAATAAATATATTATTAAAATTAACTTCATCTGGCTTTTACTTTTTAAAATTTGACTACTAGAATATTTAAAATTATACAAGTGGCTTGCATTATATTTCTATTGGATAATGCTGCTCTAGGTGATCTTGGTTCTGAATACTGAGTATCTTCCTACCGAATGGTTATTTTCTCAACTAGAATGTGTATTAAGCATCCCCAGAAAATTCCTTTGAAAATTTTTGCCATTAACTAACAATGAAACTAATTATAACTCTTTGGATCTGAGTTTCTTCACATAAAATGAAGAGGTTAGGCCAGCAGTACCCAATCTTTTTGGCACCAGGGGATATGGTTTCAGGATACAACTGTTCCACCTCAGATCATCAGGCATTAGATTCTCATAAGGAGTGTGCAACCTTGATCCCTGGCATGCACAGTTCACAACAGGATTCAGGCTTCTGTAAGACTCTAATGTCACCATTGATCTAACAGGAGGCAAAGCTCAAGCTATAATGCTTGCCTACTGCTCACTTCCTGCTGTGTGGCCAGGTTCCTCACAGGCCACTCACTGACCAGTACCAGTTTACAGCCCAGGGATTGAGGACCCCTGGGGTCACACTGTATCTTCTCTACAGTTTCTTACAAGTCTATGATTATTTGATTATAATTGTTTTAAAAAATTTTTTTAATATGTTCTTTGTATAAGGATATAGTTTTTAAAATGATATTGTCTATATATAAATAATTTGTGAACTTGCTTTTTAAAAAATATAAAAATAAATATTTTCTTGTTGATAAGACATCAAGTTATTTCATATAATCATGTATATGTTAAAGTTGCACATTCATTTACTGTATTGCTATTATAAATTTTCCCATGAAATGATTTTGTTATGAAGGTTTTTAAATTTTGAAGATTTAGACTATTGCTGCGATTATTATTTATTTCCTATAATTGGTTCCTTAGCTTTTCTTGCATAGGTCATCCTTATTCTTCATCCATCTATGTCCACTATACTGTCCTTTGACCATTTCTGGTTACATTTTATGTTATCCTCACTTTGCCATGCCCTCCAATTTTCTTTCATGACTAAGTTGTCTTGTCGCCTCTCACTAGCCCTGTCTAGAAAGCTTTGCAACTGGCCACACTCATCCTGTCCTTTAGACTGCGGTCTTCCTGGTCTCATCCCTTTCAAAACAAACTTACCTGAAAATGTCTAATAATAAGGACATTTCAGGGTGAATTCAAGTCTTTACAGTTACTTCTTACTAGTAGGGTGGGGGACAGGTATTTGCATTTAAAATCTTAACTCTCATCCTGAAATGAAAACCTTTACTTGTATTCAATTGAACGGGGTGTTCCTATTCTATATTTAAATTTTCCTAAAATCCATTATAGCATGTGTCTTATCACACGTTTTCACAAGCCTTCCCCTGCACCTCTCTTCTGTGTGAAAACATGAAACCTACAGTTTGCTAAGGAAGATCCTGGCTGCTAAAGAAACCAGCTCAATCTTAATGTTTGGAGAACACTGGATTTGGAGTAAGATGATCTAGGTTCATATCTTGATGTATCATCCATTTCAAGTACAAGTAGATGGACAAATCCATGGACATATCCTTCATTCTCTCTAAGCCTGGGTTTCCTAATCTTCTGAAAGGAGCTATATTAATAACACCTGACACACTTGCTGAGTGTATGGGGTATTTCTGAACCTCTAAAGTAATAATGAACATGGAGGTACTTACCAATGTTACATAGCCTTAGTGATCTTGGGCATCTTGAGATTTCATTAAATTTCATTCCTTGTTCCATTTTCCCTTCCTCAGGTTAGAAAAAATACATTGACCTATTCAATTCAGACAAGAATAGAAAATGTAACTAAGAGTTTTCAGAATAATGAAAAGTTTCAGGTTAAAATGGCATGATCACTCTCTTCATGCAAACATGAGAGCTATGAAACACTTATTAGAACTAATATCCCAGGTTACTCTATGCAATTCATGTATGAAGCTCAATTTGTCAAGAAACAGCATCATGGTTTTATAAAATTCAGAGGGAATCTGGATGGAGGGATGTGGGTGAGCATTACATTGATAGATTATTAAAGTAGCAAATGAGCGTTAAAGTGATGAAAGTGGAGTGCAAATAAAAGACTTTAAGAATAAAAAGTAGTCAACTCCATGTATTAGAAAGGAATTCTGTAGCTAAAATAAATCGAACACAAAATTCAAGTGCTTAAAACAAATCACTCAAGGTGTCAGTTGGAAAACATATATTCTTTCCTATCATTTCCTCTACGAAATGAAGAGAGAAATTTGTCATCAGTGACTCTTGGAATTCGGTGGGAAAAGGCAGGAATTTGGAATCAGTCCCATTGAGTTTCGTTCCAGCTTCTCCACTTAGCAGCTGCTCCCTTCTCCCTGAAGGGAGGCCACACTGTCCCGCTCGCCTGACTGGCAGTCTTCTAAGAACCCATCGCGCGTGACGGGAAAGGCAGGTACAAGCGGACGCTGGAGTCGCCGCAGGAGCCAGGGACTGGGCAGTGACATCCAGCTCCTCCCAGCTGGCAGACAGTCCGCTGAACGGAAAGGAAAGCAGTTCTCTGGACCGCGGGTTTCTTTTTCACAGCACTTCACCTCTGAGTAAGAGGAAAGAGCGCCGAGGGGATCGCAGGAACCTGCTGACGAACCCCCAGCGGTTTACAGTACCTTTGGGATCGCCTCGGTTCATTAATTCAACAAGTATTTCGGGCTGCAGCTGGGTGCTGGGTGCCGAGCCCCGGGGTGGGCAGTGGGGCTGCAGAGAGGAGGGACCCAGGACAGAGGGGACGCCGGACGTGTAAGTGCGGGACAGCGAGGCCGCGCTGGCGCGGGGCGAGGTCGGAGGCGGCTGGGGAGCCCCCGCAGGGGCCGCCCCCCCACCCCCGCCGCCGCCGCCGCCGCCGCCGCCGCCGCCGCCGCCGCCGCGCCCTCCCCCCACCCGGGCGGCCGCGAGTTTGCCCGCGACGTCCCCATGGCAACCGGCGGCGGCGCGGCGCGCTGGGAGGGCGAGGCCGGGCAGCCTAGAGGGCGCGGCCGGAGGGCGCGGGCGGCGGGAGCGCGGCGGCGGGTGGCGGGGCCCCTTGGGGCGGGCCCGGCCGGGCGCGAGGTGACCTACGTGGTCCTGCGCCCCGGGCCTCAGACCCCTCGGGCAAGCGCGGCGCAGCGCAGGTAATGACTCTGAGCTTCCCCGGCGCTGCCTCGCCCTGGACCCTCACCCTCTCCCTGGACCCTCACCCTCTCCCTGGACCCTCACCCTCGCCCTGGACCCTCACCCTCTCTCTGGACCCTCACCCTCGCCCTGGACCCTCACCCTCGCCCTGGACCCTCACCCTCTCCCTGGACCCTCACCCTCTCCCTGGACCCTCACCCTCGCCCTGGACCCTCACCCTCGCCCTGGACCCTCACCCTCGCCCTGGACCCTCACCCTCGCCCTGGACCCTCACCCTCTCCCTGGACCCTCACCCTCGCCCTGGACCCTCACCCTCTCCCTGGACCCTCACCCTCGCCCTGGACCCTCACCCTCGCCCTGGACCCTCACCCTCTCCCTGGACCCTCACCCTCGCCCTGGACCCTCACCCTCGCCCTGGACCCTCACCCTCTCCCTTCGGCCGGGCTGGCGCGGGAAATCCAGGGGACACGGGGGGCCTAAAAGGGCGGCCGCTCTGCGGGAGGCTGGGCTTGAACTGAGCGCGGGTCCCGGCGGGGCGCGTGGTGGGGAAACAGAGGCTGGGAGGGGGGGCCCGCCCTTGGAAGAGCAGAGCAGAGCTGCGCCCTGGGTTAGAAGGCCTGGGCTCTAGTCGTGTGGCCTTGGGCAAGTCACTTAACTTGTCTGTGCCTCAGTTTCCCTGACGTTTAAGTGAGGGATTTGAGAACATACAAAACCATTGATTCGTCTACTTGTTCTGGTCGTTTTTTTCACCATCCCTGCTGTCTCCAGTCTGCCCCGCACACAATTCCTGGGTCTCTCTTAAACTTCGATTTGGAAGTGATGTGACTCTGAATCTTCCTCCTCTTTCTACTCCCTTGAATGCGCTTCAATTGACGTTTATTCACTGATTCAGAGGAGCTGAAGTCCTTTTCAATACTTTCTCCAATTATCGTCATAGATTATTTTTTAGCTAAAATTTTGTTGCCATGAAAAACTTTTTTTTTTTTTTAAATTTTAACTTTAGGCAAGTCCTAACGTCCCTAAAATTAGCCGGGTGTGGTGGCGTGCGCCCTTAATTCCAGCTACTCAGGAAGCTGAGGCAGGAGAATCGCTTGAACCTAGGAGGTGGACGTTGCAGTGAGCCAAGGTCGCGCCACTGGACTCCAGCCTGGGCGACAGAGCGAGACTCATTCTCAAAAAACAAAACAAAACAAAAAACACAAAACAAATTCACGTTTCTGTATTTTCTAGGACCAAGAGCTACTACACAGAAAAACTCATATTAAATGGTTTTTGCAGTAGCAAAATTTTTATGTTTTATAGGTTAATGAATATAAACATTTTAGGAATTTGGATCATTTTCCTCCAACGGGTTGAAAATCAAGAAATATAAACCAGATGTAGCAGTTTCTTGACATGGAGAACCAAGCCCATAATACAATGGGGTAAGTGCTGGGAAATTTCTGTTTAATAAGTGTGTACTTAACTATGCCAAAAACTTCCTGAGAACACATGAATTTTGAAATTTACTATTAATAGAAGGATATGCCAATTATTTTCGGTGAGGCAGATGAGAGGAAATACCAAGTGACTGTAATTAAGGATTATAACATGAGTCTTTCTGATTTTGACACTACAGATCTGCACTGAAAAATCAGTTTTCCAACTTTTAGTGACTGTCTGATGTCTAAGGGTGATGGATGCCAAGGCAGGCCTTATGTGCTGTTATATTACCACATTACAGCCTCTCTTCGCCAGCTTGTTCCTTTTTTGCTGCATTGAGTATCTCAAGTTTCCCTCTACTCTTGTCCGTTAGGGCTGAACTCAACACTAAAACATAGCCTCAGAATAGATCCAACTCCATAAAAACATCACCAAGAAGTAGATTTTTACCAAAAGTTTCACGAAGAGATGAGGAATAAAATTTGTATAACATTTGTCATTGTAGAAAATCAAATTCCTGTTTACAAGTATCTGTCCTAACTGTTTACCTGCTACCAGCATCACAGAGTTTTCTCTTCCTGTTGTTTCACTAGCCAACTGACCACTGGCTGAACATAGAGTTTGGGAGGTGAGGGGATGAAGAGGTGGTTGTATGTGCCTCATCTTGACTGTGACTGACTTTGGTACTAGTCACAACCACTTCAGGTGTCTCACTTTCAGAGATTCTGCCCAGACCATGACTTTGATGTCAGGCTGAAGGAAAGCTGCACAAGTTTGGACAATAATCATTCCTATCACTTTTTAGCTCCTACTGCACACTCCTTCTTACAACAGCCCAGCCAGGTATTATTCTCCTTTTACAACTAAGCAAAGTAAGTATATTACAGTCTAAGCTCTTATAACAGACTCCAAAAACAGTGGCTTAAATAAGATTGAAGATTATTTCTGTTTCATATTGTTGTCTTGGGTGCCGCGCTCGCCCGAGATATGCAGACCAGGTTTGGTTTGGCAACTCTGGCACCTTCACTAATAATTTCCATCTCTAGGACCAAAGGGGTTGTTTCAGCTCCTACCATCATAAGTGTGCTCTGCCATCATGACTGTGCTCCTACCAGAGGGAAGGAGAAGGGCAAGGGGAGAGTAAGACCTTTCCTTTTAGGAGTATGATATGGAAATGGCAGGTCTCACTTCTGTTCATTTTCCATTGGCCAGAACTTAATCCCACGGTAACAACTAGCAGCAAGGAAGGCAGGGAAATATGGTCTCTAACCAGGCAGCCATAACTTAGAAGTTCTAGAACAAAGGAGGAAGAATGGATATTGGTGAGAAACTAGCAACCTCCACCACAGTGACGCTCAGAAAGGTAGAAAGACAAAGCAGGGGCTCATCCTGAAATATACACCAGGTTAGTAGGGAAGGTAGGATTTGGATTCAGATATGCCTGGCTCCAATCTCTGTGTTCCTGCGTACGTTGAAAATGGATGGCAATGAGATGCAGGGAGCAGTCTCCCTGGTATCCATAGCAGAGCCAGGTTAGGATTCTGGGTTAAGTATATGTTGGGTCCCTGATGTGATGATGGCTCTAAGTGCTAAGATGCAGATTAATGGTCTTGAACCTAAGGTTGGGTACCAGATATCACTTCATGCCTGCAAATCCAAGGCCATGGAGTCATTTAAGAAACAGACCTTGTTCTGAAAGAAGTTAGAATTTAGTAAGGAACAGTAGAACTTGTTTGGGTACAATGTAATTACAAACCCCAAGTTAATGAGAGTTATTAGAGGTTTTCCTCAGGTACTATTCCACTCATCACAGTAGACATGGAGCCAGACACATGGTCTCCAAAGCATGGAGACCCCACGTTGGCATCGCCTCAGTCCCACATGCTATTGAGAAGTCTGTATAAATCTAGATCATGAATACAATAAAACTTCATCATCAGGAACTTTTTATGTAGCTTATCAAACCATGCCACCTACATCTACCGTAATGTTTTGTGGAGCAGCCTACATTCAACAGATACCTATTTAGAGTCTACCATGAGTCACTTACTGGTCTAGGCACCAGGAGGGTAGCAGTGAACAAAATAGGCAGCTGTCTCTCAAGGGCTTATACCTTAGTGGAGGAGATAGGTAATAAACATATAAATTTGTATCATACAGTGATATGAAGAAAAATAAAACAGGCTAAGGATAAGAAAAACAGAGTGTGAATGGAGTGGTCGAACAAAGATGCTTTGGTAAGGCAGCATTTGAGCAGAGATTGTACCTGGGGGAACAGATTACACAGAGCAGGAGCAGAAAGTGCCAAGACCTATGGCGGGAGCTTTCCCACAGAACATTTTTAGTGTGAGTGAATCAATATTCTCGGCTATCATGGTTGTAACAGGGTTTGATTTCAATTTATCCATGATTTTTCCCAATTATAGGTGTTTGTATTTGTGCTATAGTAATCTAAACTCCTTGTAATTTAAAATCAATTTATATGTTTGTTCTATTGTTGTTAGAATGTGTTCCAGAACATAAATATAGAATGAATAAGGGATCCCTTTTATTGGCCTTTTTAAGAAAACCTCTAGATTTTGCTTTTTGTTTTCTTATTCATGAATTTCTACTTAATAGTCTGCCCTTTTATGGTTTATTTTATCTCGTTCTCAGGAGTTGAAAAATTTGCTTCAGCTATCGTCATGATTTCTTGAAATAATAAAATCATGTAAGGCTAAAGTTCCTCCTGAGTACAGCTTGCTGCCTGCCGTAGGGTTAATGTTCTCACCATCATTTTCTAAATTGTCTGTCATTTCGAATTTCATATCTTCTTTGACTCAAGAGATATTTAGAAAATGTAATTTCAAGGGGCATTAAGTTATCTTTTTGTTATTACTTTCTAATCCTTCTACTACCATAATCATAGGATATGGACTATATGATTTTGACTCTGTTGATTTCACTAAGATTATTCTTGTAGTCTATTGAAGGATCAACTTTTATTAATGCCCTTTGGGTATTTGAAAACACATGTACATTCTCTTTTGGTTGAGTAAAAAGACTAAAAAAGTTATATAATCAAACATTTTAATTGTTGTTATTATGTTTAAATTGTGTTTTTCAAGTACAATTACATTAATTTGTGTTTATTTGATCTGCCAAATTCTAAGGAAGATCTTCACTATGATTGTAGTTTGTCCAGTTCTTGTATTACTAACAATTTTTGGTTTACATATTTCAGTTTGCTGTTGCTCAATGTATCAAGGTTTATGGATATATCTTCTCAGTATATTACGTGATTTAACATGATAAAATATAGCACAAGTGTAATGTTTTCTGTTTTAACTCTACTTTGCCTGATATTAATATTACCATCCCTGCTTTCTTTCATTAATATCTTTGTTCAGCACCTTGTTTTCAGCCTTTTTTAGGTCAAATCAAGTTTATCTTCACATACACATAGTATATGGTTAGATTAACAAATAGAGGCCGGGCACAGTGGCTCACACCAGTAGTCCCAGCACTTTGGGAGGCCAAGGCGGGCAGATCACCTGAGGCGGGCAGATCACCTGAGGTCGGGAGTTCAAGACCAGCCTGATGAACATGGAGAAACCCCGTCTGTACTAAAAATACAAATTAGCTGGGTGTGGTGGCACATGCCTGTAATCCCAGCTACTCAGGAGGCTGAGACAGGAGAATCCCTTAAACCTGGGGTGCAGAGGTTGTGGTGAGGCAAGATGGCACCACTGTGCTCCTGCCTGGGCAACAAGAATGAAACTCCATCTCAAAAACAAACAAACAAAAAAGATTCCTCAATTGGAGACTCTTTTCCATTACAAAAAGTATTTTATAATAATTTCTATATCATTTTTGACCCTTTCTGCTTTCCCAATGTTTGCTAGGAGCATCTAGTTATCTTTATCTTCTCTTTCCGTTGGAGGTTCGACATCCAATTTTATAAATTGTTGATTTATATTTTTTATAAACATTTTAAATTTGTATTTCTATTTTGGCAACCCAAGTATTAACTAACTTTGACTACTCTCAACCCCAGTCTAGGACTCGATCTTTAGTAATGCCTTTGCTTCCCCATTTCCTTATCCTATTTCCAAGCTTCTGTTGAAATAATCTGGATTTCTAAATCCTGATTGCTATTAATTTTCTTTTATTTCTCTTTTACTTTAAAAATTCTTTTCAAACAACCATAAGTTTGATTTCATTGCTTATGACTGTCACTTGTATAGAAAACCTTCCCTGTTCTTGATTTTTAAATTGGATACATTTTTACTTTGGCTGAAGTTCTTAGTTCATCGTCTTATAAAAATGAATGTGAACGGTATACTGCTTTATTTTTTACGTGTTCAAAATGGCTTACGTTTACTCTCATACAAGAACTCCGTAACATTAATCTTATCTTGAAGCATTGAGTGTTGCAGATGGAAAGTCCAGTGCTACTCTTATTCTCTCTCTCATTCAGATTCTTTTATTTTTTTAATATCTGGAGGCTTATGGTATTGTCTCTCTATTCTTGAAGTTTACAAATGCACCAGGGTAGCTTTCTAGGTATTAATCCTTTTTTTTTTTTTAAGAATTCTGTATAGCATTTGGTAAGCACATTTATGCTAACGGTCTCTTTAGCCCAGTGAAAAATTCTATTCCTTTGATTAATAATTCTCCACTGTGTTGTTTTATTCTCATCTCCTAGAATTACTGTCTTTTTTTTCTCTCTCTCATAATTTCTATCCTTATCTCTTTTGCTCTATATTCTGGAGGAATTTTTTTAGTTTTCTCATTTTTAGTTCAGCAATGATTACATTGTTCTTTACTGCCTCTTGGTTTGACAACCATGTTTTTATTTCTAAGAACTGCCTTTTTGTATGTTTTTTAATTGTTCCTTTTATGTAGTAAATCACTTTTGCTTTATCAATGCAATATTTTACTGTTATTGAAAATACAAATTGGAAATGCTTGAAATTATCTTTCGCTTCTTATATTAGTTGGTTTATTTCAGTTATCAATT